CCCCAAACTTAACTAACACTCACACCCACACTTTTTTGTGTGTAGTCTATATAGGCCTATATAGGCCTGCTAGCTACGTAGTGCTTCAGCGTTGAAGCTAATCTCCATATCTGAGAAATAAGGATGAGGTTTAATGTGGGAGGGCAGATTATCCCACATCTGCCTACCATGAGGTTCTTACTTCTTCCTCTGAAACATCTGGTACTGGTTATTGCCAGAAACAGGACACTGACCTAGATGGACTCTAGATCTGATTCAGTATAGTAGTTCCTATGTGGAGACCAGGCTAGTTACTCTGGAGTCAGTGCATAGTTGCCCACATTTAGAAAAAATTGGAAAAGGACAGTTATCCAATTAAGATGAGGATTTGTGGGCCACCAGCATCTCAGCATTTTCTTTGTGACTAGATTGGGGGTGACTCTGCATCCTAGTGATTTTTTAGAATAGTGCTGTAAAGTGTGTAAACACTACTATCCCCATTTTACAGCTGAGGAAAGGAGGACAGGAACGTTAAATAACTTGATTAATCCCATAAAAAGTGTCTGTATCAAAGCCAGGGTTAGAGTGCAGGACGTAGCGTTCTCAATCCTGTATCTAGTCCACTCTGTGCCCCTCAGCTATTTAGATATGAGAATGTAACCTCTAGTCAAGCTGATCCTCTGGCTGCTCAGCTGAGGAAGTTGGCTCAGCTGCAGGTAGCTGGTGTGGAGAGAGTAGAGAGGAAGGATGGTGTGATGGTCTCAGGGTACCCAGGGCTCCGAGTCAAATAAATATTAGTCTCTAAGGTGCCACAAGTTCTCCTTTCCTTGTCACCAGAGCAGTGTCTTGCTTGTGCTTAGCTGGGTGTCTGCTCCCTGACACCAGCAGCCCATTAGCCACTCAAGCACTTGCCTCTGCCCTCTGCCAGCCCTTATTTTGTCTTGCAGGCTGTGACCGGGGTCCTAGTGGGGAGCCAACTGTGGTCACTCAATTAGGGTAAACTGCAAAGAATGGGGAAGCCAAACCCCCAAAAGCTGGTGGACATTCCAATACCTAGATTCACCAAGCCAGCATATAACAGCTTCTTTATTACCTTACTGCTCACTCAGAAGTCCAAACAACACAGTTCCCTTAAATTGATTCAGCCTCAGGCCTCCATCCAAGTACCCACATCAAATATGATGAGAATTTCTGTAAATCTTTTTTCATCATATAAAAGAGAAGGTTCTACCAATCCCAAAGGATCGGACACATTACCTCCCAGGTTAATGAATGTTTCTGATCTTACCCAAATACACACTACAGCCAATTAACTAAACTAAAATTGTTTAAAAAACGAGAGAGAGAAAGTATGGTTAAAAGATCAATATATGTACAGACATTAAGAAATTCATTGAGGTGCAGATTCACAGCAGAGATGGTGAGCTTAGTAGTTGCAAAGAGTTCCTTTATAATTCAGTTTATAGGTCGTAGTCCAATGTCCAAATCTCTAATTCAGGGAGTACCAGAATAACTGGGACTTTAGTCTTGCGACTCAAACTTCCCCTGAAGAAGTGTAAGCAGATCTGAGATGACAGAATCCGGACCCAAGGATCTTTTATACAATTTCATGTTCTCTTTGACAAGTTGGGATTTCCTCAGGGAACAAAAGGTAATTAGGATGACTTTGAAGGAGGTCCATCACTGGTACTTAGCGATACAAATTAACATAAGGCCATTTGCCTTTTCCTCCACCATTCACAATATATTTTAGAGAGAGATGAAAACTGAGATATCCCATGTTTACAATTCATTTAAGTGATATCAGAATACAGTATAGGGGGGACTGTTGATTACATTGTGGACTGTACTCATACATATGTAAATACACAAACAAACATTCTCGCCCTACATGTCTTTTGAGAGTTATTTATTGTGCAGGATGTTTAACCCTTTCTATCCATGCGTCACACGAGCTAACAATAGATACACCCCAATCCCTGAATCCCTTTGAACTGTTCCTTTCTCCACTGAACACCCACAGAAATAACAGGTCTGCTCTCCCCAAAGGAGCAGTACACACCAGGTTGTAAGAGTCAGCTCAGGACCAGCACTTTGCATAATACCACTGCGTTGATATATATTTATAGTGAAAACATGGATAAGTCTAGTATCCAAGCTTCAAGTCACAGTGAGTAAGGATATTGGAAACAAAAGATTGTGTATAAAACAAATTAAAAACATGCTTTCCAGAGATTGGACTTAACTTACGGGTTAACGTCTTGTTTAAAATCCTTTGCAGCATTTTCAACCAAGGTTGGCTGGGATCTCATCTTCATGAATGTAAATACATTGTTACTTTACTTCCTATGTGCAGGATGAGGGGGTGTCTTCTTAGCTTCCTACCAGTGCTTAATTTGTGCCAGGGCTTGCCGGGGCTTAGCCCCGCCACCTCTAGGTTTGGCAGTTCATAGCCACAGCACCTTTGGGCTTGCTGAATCAGTTATGAATGTAAAAAGATTGCTTGAGCCTTGGCACTTCTTTCAGTACAAATTAAGCACTGACTCCTCTATATACCTCTCAAAGTTCATTGTCTGCCTTCAGGCAGGATAACCACACGTGGCTTGGGTTTTTTTGAGTGCTGCTTCCCTGTTGACTCTACATTTCTTTGCAAACATCTGACTTTGTGTAAATGGACATCCATTGTTACTTTACAATGCTTAAATTTATGTGCTGATAGCAATCTAGGTTTTTGATTGCCTGTCTGGACGAAAACCTCTTTTCACCTCTGCTGGTGATTAATGCCTTGATACAGCCTTAAACATATTTTTTGCTGTCCCCCAGGCTTCTTGTGTGACTTTAGGCAATTCACTTGGTCTCTTGGTCAGTTTCCCGCATCTGTAAAATGGGAATAATAGCACTTCCCTACATCTCAAGGATGTTGAGGATAAATACAGTAAAGATTTGCTCAGACCCTACTGCAAAGGGAGCCACAAGAACTCTATAATGTAGCTGGTGGCAAACTGACCAATACTGGGCCCCACAACTCCTAAGAAGAGAGGGAGTTCTGCCCACAGTTCTCAGACTCCAAAAGCCAGGGATCTGTAAATAATCTGACTGTTCAACCAGTAGATTTTTAGGGCACCAAGTGGACCAAGTATCCAATTACTCTGGTATTTCGTGCTTTTATTTAAATACACTTAGGTATACTGATAGTCCATTAGTTTGTCACTCAAACTTTTGTGTTCAGATCTCCTTGGTAAAGTAGGCATGGTCCATAGTCTTTGGAGTAATTTACTGTACATGCCAATATTCTAGCTTTAAAATTTCCTGAATGACTAGCAGTTTCTGAATTCTAAGTGTTGCCTACTTAAAGATGGCTTAGTAGAAGGAATAAAAAAGTAAGCTTTTCGTATCTCTTCACATCCTATTCAGCCAGTCATCTGAGGGCAGATCAAGCAATAGAATGGGAAGAGGCATTGGTGTTTAAGCCTAGCTGAGCAGAGGAAAGAAACATGGTGTGAGAGGCTAGGGAGGAGAGTTTTAGTAGAATGAAGAGCTCTGGCTGGAATAAGGAAAGGGCCTCACAGTATTAATATCTGGACCTATTGTTATAGCGGTGTCATTTCAATAATCTGTAACCCACTGCCACTAGCCTCCCCTGTTTCTCCTCCTCCTTCTTTTCCACCCTATGGCTGGCAGGGTGTTAACTGGCCACTTCACCTTGAATGGTCCCTTGGAATATGTGACTACTTAGCTAAACAATCTGTTCCAACCTCGTATTTAGCAGTGACACTGAGTTTTCCAGCCCTGCAAAAGAGCTCTGTAGCTGGAAAGTCTGTCTGTGTCTCTCTCTCTCCTCTTCCCCCCTCCCCCCCAAAGTTGGTCCAGGAAAAGCTCTCCCCTGCTCCCCCACCTTGGCTCTCTAATATCTGGAAAGGTAACTGAGGTGGGGCAGGTACAGGCTGAGCCTTCAGGCCCTGAGGCACAGCCCCGCCTAGCCCAGGAAGGCTAGGCCGCCGGGCAGGCATCGAGCCGCAGGTGGTTCTGCCCAGAGCCACCAGGTTGCATCCTTGTGCAGCTCTCAAACCAGCCCCTGTTCCCGGAGCGCGTGTGTGAGGCTAGCAAGAAGCAGCTCGTGAGCAGCGAGGTCCCTCTGCCGTCATCCCGGGGGCGGGTGAGGCACGTGGAGACAACCGCGGTCTGCGGGGTGTTTCCCGGGGGGGGAGAGGAGGGAGCGGTGCGGCTCCGCACGTGGCGGAGTCTGGGCCCGGGCCTGTTAACACGTCACGTGCCTGCCCGCTTTGCCCCCGCCAGCGTCTGCTTCTCACGCAAGCCATTTCCCGGCAGCTCCCCGCTGGGCACAGCTATTGGCAAAGCTCAGGGGAACGTGGTGGACGTTAAATGTGACCTGCCCTTTGTCTGACTCTGCCTTTTATCCACTCCTCCCCTCAACCGCTCGCTGGCTCCCCCCTCTCAAGTCTACCTGGCACAGATCCTGGGCTTGTGGCCAAAAGCCACTTGCAGGGAAAGGGCCTCCAGGCATCAGCCCGTCTGTAACGCCGACAGCAGCCCCAACCCCAGCTCGGGCAGCACGGCCTGCAAAAACAGCGAAAAGGGATAAAGTTGGGGCTACCTGGCCTGGCTCCTGGCTATTTTTGGTCCCCATTTCCCAAACCGTTTAATCAGACAGAGCACAAACCTAGCTGCTACTGCCCTAAACAATGCCAGACCCTGAAGCTGCCCGAGCATGAGCGCTCGCAAAAAACTTGCATCTGGCACCTAGACCCAGCCCCATTTTGGCGGCAGAAACTAGTGCGTCAACTGAGAACACGTCTTAAAAGCCGACCCTGACGTATGCTGGCCCATCATGCTGCAAAAACCCCGCTCTGGCTAGCGCATGGATCCTACTGTTTTCATCCAACAATTTGGTCCTCGCCCTCCAACTTCCATGGCCTGAGTAGGGAACAGCGCAAGAGCGGCTACCCTCCTTCCCTACTTAAACGGTACGATTTGGCTTTGGGAGTCTCCAAGTGCCGGGATGCAGGTGCCAGATCTGGGTACTCGCCTTCTGAGTGTCCGCCCAGGGCTGCGGGGTGGGGGCGGGCCGGAAAGCTCCCCCAGATCGCACCAGCCTGCGCACGTCGCTCCAGTATAAGAGGAGGCCATGGCAGTTCCCGCCCAGGCAGGAGAAGCAGAAGCGGAAAGTCCTGCCCTGGCTCTCTGCGCTGCTGCCGGCGCTGTCCCCGCGCGGCGGCCGCTGCTTTAGCCCCGCGCCCGGGGGCCAGGGCTGGGACAGGCCCCGCCGCGTGCGCGCCCGCGGACGAGGAGGTGGCGCCTCTCGCCAGCTTCCCCCGGGCTCCGGCCAAGGTAAGTCCTCGGCGGCTGGAGAGCCCCTGGCGGGCCGCGGGACAGCGGCGGGCCGCCGAGCAAGTGCAGCGAAACGGGTGGAAACAGGAGCGGGAGTTCCGCATAGGCCGGGCGGGGGTAGCTAAGAGCGGCGGGGCTGTGAGATTTACCGCAGGTCCGGGGATCCTGGCGGGGATCTGGGAGCGTGGCAGGGCGAAGGGGGTCTGGTTCCTCCCGGCCGGGCAGGGGAGGGTGCAGACAAAGGGTTGCAAGCACGAGTCTTGCTTATCCAGACACGCTTCTCCTCGGGGAGAAGTGAGCGGCGGCTTGCAATGGGTGTGACGGTACTTGCGGGACAGGGGAGAGGCTCTGGGGAGTGGATGGGTTAAGTGGGATCCAGCGATTAAAGGGCACGGCGGAGGCTGCAGGGCACACAAAGGCTATTGGCTAGATCAGGAGCGTTGTGCCTGGTCCCTCTTGCACTTCTCCAAGGACCACGGGACGGAGCGCTCTTTCTTGCGAGATCACATAGTGTATTTCTAACCTCAAGCTTGGCGGTTGCTCCTAGTTTGCCGCTTGTGAGGTTTTGAGAGAGCTTCACTCTGATGCTATTTGCTTACACTACAGAAGCAAAGGACAGCACCTCCTCGCCTTAATCGCGACAGGTCTGGCTTGTCCTAATAGAAAGTTTTCGATTCTCCCCCTCCTCCCCTGCAAATTGCCCAGGCCCACTTGAGGACAGAGATCTCGCATGAGAGACCAGGAAGATCTCAAGAGAGAGATCATTAATTTCTTTAACACGTTATCTGTATTACTTCGTTCAGCATTTATGATCTACATTTGCAAGGAGAGAGGTGTGTGTTTATTTGGGGCTTTTGTTATTACCACACAAATTCTCCAATCTTTTTTGTTATCCTCAGGTTGGGGCTCAATTTTGTAAATGTCCATGTTTTAACTTTACTGCTGCAAGTAGTTAAGTGTTTATAGACTAACTGCCTGACCCTATAAACTCCTGGTTTGAACAAGGAATACCTATAGTACTATATGAATAATACATATGTAGTATTGCAAAAGAGCTATGTACAGTAACAGATGCCAACACTGAATCTTGTGGTCTGTGGTTTCCCCATTCAGACATTGCCACCAGTTTTTACTGACTAAACACTGAGTAAAGTGTCATCCCTATCCCCTTACTGACACTTTTTACAATAGTAATATCAAAACACTTTTCATCTTCCAAGCACTTTAATTCTCAGGACAACCCTGAGGCTAAATATTATCTCCATTTTACAAATGGGGAAACTAAAGCAGATGGTAGAGCCAGATTAAAAAAATTGCAACAGACAGTTACACAAAAACACAATTGGTGAATTTACCAAAATAACAATATCCTAACGTAATGTGTGGTGGACATCCTTGAGATAGGATAAACAATTTGCTATAATACTTGTTTCAGAGATCTTGTAGCTCAAGTGGTAGAAGCTTGTCTTTTGGAACTGAAGGACCAAGGTTCTAATCCTAGCTCCTAAACTGTGTGTGAGATTTATATATATAGCTGGGGCTGTTACACATAGATTTATTACAACCAAAGATTATCATAGTTAGGCCCAATGCTCCCTTCCATTATTCAACATGTTGGAGAACAGAGGCTCTAAAATCTCAGGAAATGGAGCAAAGAGTGGTACATACAGAGTCGACAGGGTTAGGTGGGATAACCTGCCATCACTACTATGTAGTTGCCAGCATGGAGGGAATGGTGTCATTATGCAAGTGGAGCTCTGTGTTTAGTGGAGAGTATGACTGGCTGGCTGGTCAGAGGAATTGAGGAGTATCTGTTCTGTGTGGCATTTTTTTCACTTCCAGTGTGGCAAAAAACACACACATTTAATTGTAATAAATGTGTTAGTCTCTAAGGTGCCACAAGTCCTCCTTTTCTTTTTGTGGATACAGACTAACACGGCTGCTACTCTGAAACCTACAATTAATTGTGTATCCAGTTGACTCTGCACTCTGTGATTCCTTACAAAATGATCACACGAGTGCACCTGTCTTTGGAGAGCAAAGAGCAGCACAGCAACTGAGCCAGGCAGTCATGATGCCAGGGCTGGGGGGGAGAGAGTGCTAAGCTTTGTCCTTTTGGGATGGCAAAGTATTCTCTGGAGATGTGAGGTAACACTCCAGCTTGTCTCATGAGCTCCAGGGCGTGATGTGATGGTTATTTGGAAGAAAGAAAGCACCAGAGTTCAAGTATGCTTTTCCCTTCTGCAGGCTTTTTACCTGGAGAGGACTATGCAAGGGCTAGAGAGAATTATCATATTAGAAGAGATGCTAAAGAAATGTCAGAGCCCATGTGTCCTATTGTTTGTTTTTACAAAACCTCTCTGTACATCAGTGTGAGGTGTCCTTGCAGCCAATGAAGAAAGAAGAGAAAATTGTGTGAGGAATGACCCCCTCTTGTTGAACTGCCTGTCTGTAGGTGCCTACGGCCATCAGATATTTGTCAAATGTCACATTTCACAGAAAGTGAGGGGTCTTTTCTTGTTTTTTTCCCTAACAAAAATTAATAAAAGAAAATTCATTTCAATGGATGGGCAAAGGTTTGGGATGGCTTTTATTTATGTATTTTCCCTGTGTTAAAATGTTTGGTGCTAAAATATTCAAAGAAACCGATTCGTGCTTCAAACAATAGTCTGTTAATGAATGTCATGCCATCTAGTGGACATAAGGAAAATAGAATATCTAAAGTTCTAGACGTAATGATAAGTCTCTTTATCCACACTTACTCAACTATCTACCAAATGAAGCAGCAGGATATGAACCCTAATGTTTTTATGATGGTGGTTGGGCCTAACTTAACAACATGACTTAATGCCAGAAGATCCACCTGAATACCCCTCTCCATGAATTTCCTTATGTTCTGTTTCTCTTTGCTTTTTGTATAGTGGAATCAGAACCTTCAATTTTTTTGTTACTGGGACATCATGTGCAAGTCCATTGCCATGGCTTTGATACTTAGTAACATAGCACTGCTCCATATTCACTGTGAGAGCGCCTCTGTCTTGCTGCTGGCTAAGATCCATGAGAATAGCGACCTGCCTTTGTACGCAGACCTCTTCAACCACCTGCCAGCTCACCTGTCTTTTAGATGCCCTTTATGGTCACTTAGGCCACCACACAACATGACAGTGGAACCTGCTTGGCACAACAAGTGGTTAGTGACGACAGTTGTTAGGGTTTGCAGGGCTGGGACTCCATTATAGAGGGTGTGTGTGGGTTCCCTCTATACTGCCACCTAACCAGGTGATGTGTATACCTCTGTGCTTGGAGAGTCAATTTATGCTGCCACCTCATGAAGTGATGTAGTGACCTCAGAATAAGGGGAGGATGAAAGGATTGACTGGAGCCCAGGAAAAGGGCAGTGTTCGAAATGTATCTTTTGTCAGAGAAGACAGACCCTTGGGGAGGAATGGCTGTGTCTGGTGAGACCAGAGTGGAAAATGTGTGTTTTGGACTCTCTGGCTTATACCCCAGAAGGGAGGCACTCTTGAATTTGGCCACAGGGTTGAGTTACCTGAGCCACCTAAAGCACTGGATGCTGGCTGTCCTCTGTTGGAGACAGGATAACTGAGGAGATGGACTGAGAAGGGAATTTAAGGCAGTGGCTGGGCCTGAAGCCAGATGAGGTAGATTCCTACTACAAACACACTAAATAAAACCCTCATAAGATAGAAACAAAGTCAAAGCTGGAGAATTTAGGCCCCGTCAACTTCAGTCTTGGGCCATGAAGTGGCCATAAGGGCTCATGCTCTGCTAACTGAGTTTAGAAAATACCCCCTGGTTACTAGAACTCAGTGAGAATTAGGGCAGAAGAGAGAAGGAGCAGCTTGCTACCTTCACCCTACTTTGTGCTTCTGCTGCATCTGCTCCATTGCCAACTCAGCTACAGCACGGGCACACCCAAAAATATCCCAAGCCAAGACCATTAGTAAATTCTCTAGGCCCTAGCAGACAAACATTCATGTTTTCTTTCTGTGACTCAAGTCCCACAATCCTTTGTGGCTGTGAAGAATTGATGTTTTTATGCTTAATTTTGAAGGCTGTATTTTACAAAAAGAAGGAAAAGGTATCCTTATAAACTGCCTGCTGTAGGGGTATGTTAGATGTGAGTCCAGATAGAGTTTACTGAATGTTGTATTTCACAAACTAACTTGAGAAATAAAACAATGTGTATAGGAGTGTACAGGAGTATAGTTAGCAATGTGAAACAGCTGAATTGATGATTTGCTGTCATCTCCTCCTGCTCTTGTAGCTTTTAATAAGGAGATATGCCATGATACACAATATGGTCTCTCGGTAAAGTTTGCAAAAGTAGGTGTCTAAAGCTAGGCAGCAAAATAAGTGGTGTGATTTAAGGCCTGAACACCTGTAATTTCTCTGTAAGTCAATGGAGTGGGATGTTCAGCAACCAGGATTGGGCTGTGTGATGGGGTGTAAGAGCCCCACACTGAACCAGGGTGGGGAGCAGAGCAATACTGGGCTAAGGTGGTCCTGCCCCCAACAGGTGCAAGGTATATTCCCAGTGGAGGAACAGTTTTAAAGGACACTGGTGTAGCCCACAAGAAATGTGAATGAGCTGCTTGGGACACCAGGAAGCAAGGCTGATGCTGAGAGCTCTGCCAGGAGTTGGGACTGTTTTGTGAAGGCAGATCGAGCAGCAGACATTTGGATTCCACCCCCTTCTTTGGGAGTTGAAAGCCCAAAGAGAGAGTGACTGACCTGAACTGGATACTAAGACTGAGGAGAGTCTGCCAAGCCAGCAACCATGCCCCCAGCTAAGGAGCTTTAGATTGGTAGGAAGTGACCAGGGGAAACATAATTTGGGGTAGCTCAATAACTGGGCTGGACACTTTGATGAACCACTAGGGCCCTGGGTTGGGACCTGGTGGAGTGTGAGGGTCTGGGTTCCCCCTACCTTGCCTGTCCTGCTTCTCTGTAGTGACTGAACTCTGGGGGGGGCAATC